TTAGACGTTAAATAATCAATAGAGTATTTACTATTCGTCTACAGAAGTTTCCGCTTCTCGAACAATGTCAATAACTCGAATTATTTCAATATCAGAATGGACTACAAAATTTTTGACTTATTCTCATTTTCAACATTCGATAAAGCAAATTTTTTTTCCCGAATTGTCATTAAAAATTGACAATGAAAATAATATTTGATTGATTTTAAAGTTAAAGGTTTGCTGCTTGCAACTATTTTGAACGTTTTCTATTAAAAATTAAACTTCTATTAGAAAATTCGTTTTATAACACTGAAGATATATGTCGTTTGGATTCCTTTTTTTGAATCACGAATAGATAAGCCATCTGATGAGATTCTTCAGCAAAGTCAAAACCAGTCATAGCAGCTTTTTTACACCCACTAAAAAGCCTCACTTTTATTTAGATTTAAACAACAAAAGTGTTTTAAAAAATTGCTTTCTTTCATTTCGTTGCTCTTATTGCGTTCAAAATCAGCTTTTTTTGTTCATTTTTAGAAACAGTTTTATCTCAAAAAATTCTCTTAAACTCTCACCCAAAAAATGAACCATTAAAAAAGTATCAAACAGAACAAACATTAATCGAAGTAAATTCTTTTTTTGATATTAATCACATAGTTATTTTCGTTCTTTATTACTTACTCATTTGTAACTGGCTTTATTTCATAATTTTATTCTCATCCTGAATCATCTTAATTTAGAAATTCAACGTAATAGAATAATGAAAAAGAAAAATTTTAAACAAATAATAAGACATCAATGCAAGCTTTTTTTTTTATCTGTCTTTTTCCAAGTCGACTGAAAAATCCCAATTGTTTGTATTATGATATTACCATCAATTATGTTATTATTGTTTCTATGATTATATAATGATGAACAACGGATTGTATCAAAACTTGAATAATGACATTTTTTCTCAGTCGTTGTGTAATCGATGTATGACATTTGTTCCTGTGAACATTTGCTTTCCACATAGTTACTTCTCAACACGTACTTTATCAAAATCCTAATCAATGGAAAAATCAATATGTTAAATATTGAAATGAATATTATCTTTGTCCTCGCACCTTAAAATTCTGTTGTTTCTTTAAGTTTTCAAGAGATATGTTAACAACCCTTCGAGTACTAAATTAATAAAGAAACATGAAAGTGTTAAGTCATATGAACGAACCTTGAGTAGAAAACTATTGTCTCGCAAAAATATACTAAAGCAACGTAGGTATTCAATCATATAGTTGGATAGTCCAGTTGATGCTATATTGTAGCAAAATAATGAAAGTTTCAGTTCATTTTTTCATCATAGCAGAAAATCAATATCGATTTGAAGGCGTAGATCTCTCTCATGGCTCTATGTCTTTTTTTTCACGCAATTATTCATAAATAATATCAATTTATTATTTAGATATTAAGTTAAAAACAGAACACATTTTTTCTTTTCTTATTCTTGTTCACAAGCACAACCAAGAAAGTTTGGTTGATTATAATAAAAGTCAATTGTTTTATCGGTACATGCTCCTCCTCCAGTTGGACCAACATGTGGACAATGTACAGATGGTAATAGAGGAACAAAATATGCATGAATAGCGCGGCAAGCAACAGTTCCTTGGTCTCCTCTATCATATGAACCATACGGTACCTTGGTCATTAAATATTGTGTACAATCATCGACACTTGAATATTGTTGTAATGTTCCATTACAGAATGTTTGTGCAGCTGTACATATGAGGTCTATTATTAATTGACGTTCTACATCTGTAGATGGATCGAATGTTAATCCA